AATTGTCCAGGCTCTGTTCCATTAATACCCACTGGTCTGTTTGCATTTTGAGTGAGTCTTTTACCCATGGCTGAGCCTGTAATACCTAATGCATTGGTCGTTTGGAAACACCGAGTAAGTATACCTCCAAATGTTGACACATTTCGTTAGACAGTGTGTTTTTGTTTTGTCTTTTATAATCACATTAATTAACACAACACCCCCCCCCCCACTTATCTCAGTGGAAAACTCTTTAGTAGGAACCAGTCAAGCTCTCCATAGCAGATACAAAATTTTCCAACATTGGAATTCTCCCTTGAAAGCTTGAATCTTATTGCTGGCAGCAAATACACTGAGTGGTTTTCCCTGACGTGATAGGTTCACTTCGCTAATTTTCAAGTAAGTGCGCCACACGTGAGTGACCTTAGCTGGTCAAGTCACCTGTTCTTGCAAGTAAACATGGTGCTCTATGCGGAAAGCAGCTGGTTCCACTCACCACTGAGTGGAAGGCCTGGGCCCTTCTCTGAGGAGGCTGCTTCGGTTCCCTGGTCGACTTGCCATTGTGCTGCGGAATAATGAGAAAGGTATGCTGGGTCTTGATCCGAGCTAAGGGTCACCATTGCTTCCACGCCCTCAATGCAAATGCCAGCACGGTGAAAGGCACCGTATTTTGTTTTGCTTGCTTAGCAAAGCGTTCTGATCTGGCGGGCCACCAGCAAAGGGCCTTGGGGCGCCTACGAGTGAGTGCGCGCTTCCGATTTGGAGACGTGCTGCTCAGGTTTTAAAATGGCCCTAAGGTAGATTTACACACCTTTCTGTGTCGACACAAACTTCTAGGCAGAAACGAGGACACACAGTTTTTAAGTGCTGAGCAGTACGTGTGTGTCTGTTTATCCATCCTTGTTGGCACGCACAGATCTGATGGGGCAATATTGTCGACGTGCTGTCACCTTAGCGACTCCCCTGCTCTGGTGGGACCAGCTCCCCTTCCCTCTCCCCCAGTGTGCTGCAGCCCCAGAGTTGAAAAGCAGACTCGTTAGCAAGGCCGAGTGTGGCACTCCGTGCTCCTTGGCCCCTGCCTGTGAGGGAGAGTGAGTTGTAAGGAAAGGCTGCTTTGGGTTTTGAGCATCGTCTCCTGTCAGAAAGGAGCGAGCACTCCAGCAGTGCTGGTGCCGGCAGCTGTGGGTGGTTCTGGCGCCGCTGTCTCGGACTTGTCAGAGCGCTCAGGCCCCCGGCCCTGCTGTGGGGAGAAGGCCCTCTTCCTCTGTGAGCCGTGGTGGCAGCAGCTGCTTGTTTTCCATCCTAGGGCGCATGGGGACACCCAGCACTGCAGGAAGGCTCTCCACCGGGCTGTCCAGTGTACCAGCGACTACCCGGAACACGTCTGTGAAGTGCTGCTCACCATGGAGAGGACGGAAGGTGAGCCCCTCTGCGCTCCGCTCGCTCTGCTCCTGGCTGGATCGGATCCACCTACTGTTCGGTCTCTAGCCGGTGCTCTGGTTGGAAGCCCCTGTCAGGACAGGCTGTTTTCACAGCCTCTGTGTCCAGAATGTCCCTAGTGCTCCCTCCCAGGGGTGAGCCCTCCCATGGCTCTTGTCAGATCTTTGTGTATGAGCGGGCTCATGAGTGCAGGGGTTCTCGTAATCCTGGGTTTCGAGGGCTGTCCTGCCCCTTGTAGGAAGTTTAGTGTGACAGCACATACACACACCCCCTCCAGTGTGATGGCATCCATCAGTGTCTCTTGAGAACCCTCCTTCAGCACCGTGGCGCAGGAGACTGCAGACAGCCAGCAGAGAGACACAGACAGACAGACACATGTGCATTTGGTTGGGCAGATCCTTGGAACTTGGACAGTACATCGTGAGGCTACAGCCTGTGGGTTTTTAGTATCACACTAGACCACAGACAATAAGGACAGGAGATGTCCCAGGACAGTTTACCTCTTTAAATCCTAATTCTTTAATTTCAATATCAATGTTTTGCATAATAATGTATTGCCGTAATCGTTGGTAGGTTGGGTTTTAGTTTCCGGGTTTCCTTTCCAAAGGCATAGACAGGTTAACCCTGAGAAGACTATTGAACCCTAATCTCAAACCTATGCTAATGACTGCTCTTTTAAAAAAAAACGGGGAGCTGGCTGTCCTTCCCTTTTCTGAGGGAGAGCTTATGTTGTGTGTGTGTGTGTGTGTCTGTCTTAAGGTGTGGGGGGATGTTAAAGAAAATCACATGCCCCATCCTTCAGAAACCTGAGAAGTGAATGTTTGCTTTCTTCTTTCATCAAGGGACATTAGAAGATTGGGACATAGCCGTTCAGAAAACTGAAACACGGCTAGCCCGTGTTAACGAGCAGAGAATCAAGGTAACATGGTTTGAGTTTCTGGAGTCACTGGCAGCATTTTGGTCTGCGTTTACTATGGCTTTTCCTGTCTGAACCTTTTAGGTTTTCTCAAGTGTCTTTCCTCAAAGTATTAATTATGAAGTACTTGAAACAGGGTGAAATCTGGTGTGCTGCAGTCTTTGATTGCTTGACGACTTTAGCCTCCACAGTCAGTATCTTGTGGAGGTGTTTAGCTCCTGATACTAAAGAATGAAGAGGCCCAACCAGGTCCTTCTTACGCACAGGCGCCAAGGAAGCCTCACTTAACGCCCCAAAATAACTTAGGGCCCCAGTGATGCAGTTTGAGGTGCTGTTAAAAAAACTCCAAGGACTTGAGATACAGAAATGTAGTCATAATAAGCCTGGGTGAGCAGGGCAGCGGGAAGCGTGGGCCTGTCCTTGTTTTATCGTGGTCTCAGCACGTGGGCCATGGGTCCCTAAAGGGCCCTGGTGGTGCAGGGGTTAACCACTCGACTGCTAACCCAAAGAAAACCAAAACCAAGTTGATGCTGATTCATGATGACCTTGTAGAGCAGAGTAGAAATGCCCTGTGAGTTTCTGCGACTGCCTTTCTTAAGGGAATAGAAAGCGCTCTTTCTCCCTTGGAGCGGCTGGTGGATCTTGTGGATTGCATTCCGACATAAAACCCACTACACCACCAGGACTCCTGTTCATCAGAAGGCAGATCGATAGCTTCAGCCAGTGTTTCCTAGAGTGGATGATCTTGCCCCCCCCATGCTGGAACCATCTATAGATACCTACTCTTTACTCTGGATATTAAAGAATTGCCAGGGTGGGCGCTGAGTGACGTTTTTCTTGCAAAGGGGCTGGTAGGCCAAATGAGGTTGGGATACCCCATGCGCCCGCCACCCTGGGGGAGAACACTGTGGCAGTGGCAGTCTGTGTCTGTAAAGGTTGCAGCCTTGTGAGCCCTGCGAGCCTGCTCCACCCTGCCCTGTAGTGTTGCTGTACCTCCGTCCTCTCCTAAGACAGTTGGGTAGACCTCATGCTGTGACACCCAGTGATGTGTCCCATTGTCCTTTGTCTAGGCTGCGGAGAAGGAAGCCGTCCTGGCCCAGCAGGAAGAGGCGAAGAGTGAACAGCGGAAGCGGGCCCGGGCCGAGAAGAAAGCCCAGAAGAAGAAGAAGAGCCGAGCCAGTGAGGACGCAGAGAGAGAGTGGGGTGACGAAGGTAACGCTTGGGCGAGGTATCATGTGGAAACCTCTCTCAGACCTGTAAGGATGCTGCTCAGTACTGAGAGCTTGGTGTTTCCCCAGACGCTGGTGGGAGGCCGGCTGGCCCACCCCTCTCTAGGGTGTATGTTTTGCAAACTAGGACGGTCTTCCGTTAAACTCAGGAAACTTGTCAGTCCCAACTCACAGTGACCCTATAGGGCAGGGTAGAACTGCCCCTGTGAGTTTCCCAGGATGTAACTCTTGATGGGAGTAGAAAGCCTCATCTTCCTTCCTCGGAGCCGCTGGTGGTTTCGAGCTGCTGACCTTGCAGTTAGATGCTTAGCACATAACCACTATGCCACGAGGGCTCCTCTCCGTCTTTGTGGAGCTTGATAGAAACCCAAACCAAACCATTGCTTCTGTTTGGACTCAGTGGTTCTCAGTAGGACTTCCAAGGCTGTCAAATCCTTACAGGGGCAGGCAGCCTCAGTTAAATCGGGACACTGCTGTGATCATTGCGGCCCACTGTCCTCATCCCCCAGCCCAGGCCCTTCATAGCCCAAGGCTTCCATTTGAAAGCATGGGGCATTCTGGTGTCAGTCTGGCCCAGTGTTCCTGTGACTCTTGTGACCTTTGCCCTCTGGAAGAAGACAGGCCCTTCGTCCTTAGCCGCCCCTGGGCCTACTCTGTCCAGGTGTTCCTTGTGACTAGCTTCAGCCCATGTCTTTGACAGCAGGGACCCAGGAATGACGCTGGGTCCTTTTCACTGCCTCCGCTCAGGTGATTTTCATTAGTCCCTCAGAGCAGAGTGGGGCCCGTGTGACTCTGTGACCACAGTGCTGTGTCCCTGGGAATGGGCCAAAGAGGGCACCTGGAGCCAGCTGGGCCGGAGACCGTAGGGAGGACGTGGTGTATGCACCAGCATTGCGGGAGGAAGGAGGGAGTGTCCAGTGGGAAAGTCGCGTGGGGAAGCCCCCACCGTCTGCGCTGCCCTTGAGCAGCAGCAGAGGGCGGGCCTGTACGCTCCCCGCCCCATCAGGCTGTCAGCAGTGGCTCAACTTAGGTGCCACCCCTCCCTGAGCAGTGTTGAGCGTGCTGGGACGCCAGTGCTGGTGAGCTTTCTTGAAGGACCCGAAGCACAGCATGTTCTGAGGCCCAGCTGGCCCTTGGCATTCATTCAGAGGTCGTGACACCCGCATGTCAGTTACCTGGGTGCTTCAGCAGGTTCCACCCTGTATCTGCTCTGGAATTTGCCACTGACATGTGAGACCCTCTGGGCAATGGAGCTTGGTGGTCTCAGCTCCTTCCCTGTGCTGAGCCTGTTACCCTGCATTCCTTGGGGCCCAGAATGCAGCACGACTGGTCTGCTCAGCTTGGCAGGTGTAGTGCCTGTGCCTCAGGGGTCTGAGGGGTGAGTGCTGTTGATGAGAGTTAGAGTCCAAATCAGCTGTCTGTAGGGACAGTGCCATCATCACCCAGTAAATGTGTTCAGCTTAGAACCCCTCAGTCACTGCTGCTTTCCTTTTGAAAACCTGCAGAGCAGCCCTCCAAACGGCGGAGGGTGGAGAACAGCGTTCCTCCTGCCACCGCTGCGCAGGGCGCAGACACGGAAGCAGAGCTCCCTGGGCGGAGGGCCCCTGCGGAGGTCGGCCCCCCTTCCAAGCAGAAGGAAAAGGCTGCCGCCCTGAAGAGGGACATGGCCCGGGTGCCTCATGACAGCAGGAAGGACGGCATCACCGTCTTTGTCAGCAACCTGCCCTACAGCATGTCTGAGCCGGACACGAAGCTCCAGCCCCTCTTTGAGGCCTGTGGCGAAGTGGCTGAGATCCGGCCCATCTTCAGCAACCGCGGGGACTTCCGGGGCTACTGCTACGTGGAGTTCAAAGACGAGAAGTCGGCCCTGCAGGCCCTGGAGCTGGATCGCAGAAATGTGGAGGGGAGGCCGATGTTTGTCTCCCCCTGTGTGGACAAGAGCAAAAACCCGGATTTTAAGGTACGGTTGTGGACAGAGGCAGTTGATGACAGACCACAGTGGACGCTGTGGACGCTGGAGCCCGGCAGAGAAGGAAACAGCTTGTTTCCCTCCAGGTTGTAGGTTCCCAAACGGATTAGAAAAGCAATTACTGGGTGCCCCTGGCAATGAAAAACTTCCCCCATCATCAAAGACAAAGTGTAGGCTATGCAAGTCCAGGCTCACTCTCCCACTTTAGGAAATGCTGCACTGGAACCAGTGACTGAAAGCTAGCAAGATTACACCCTGTCCACGGCTGAAACTTGCCAGACCTGGGCAAAGTGGGCAGTCCAGGCATGTTCCAGCTGTGACGGGTTTTCCTGCCTTTACACTCTGGACGGACATTTTGTGTCCGATGGCCTCATGGCTTGGCCGCTTGGAAGGTGCATTAGCTGGTTTGACAGCGATGAGATGAATGAGGAGTTGTAGTAATGTCCACCTCTATGAAATGCTTTGCCGCCTTGAGGCTCTGCTAACGGTAACCGTTTGACACGATGTCACTGAATCCTCCCCCACACTCAGGGATTCTTTCCGTTCTTGTAGACGAGGAAGTTGAGGCTTAGGGAGGATGAGTGACTTGCCCAGGGTAGGGTGACCCAATAACTAAGTGACAGCGGCAGCCTGGACTTTGCTGTCCTGGCAGGCGAGTTCAGGTGGATATGCTGGGCCCAAGCTGGTGGTGGGGCCTGGCTGGCCCCAACTGACCTACCAACTGACGACCCCCACCCCCACCCCCCACTCCCCCACAGGTGTTCCGGTACAGCACTGCGCTGGAGAAGCACAAGGTGTTCATCTCGGGGCTGCCGTTCTCCTGCACCAGAGAGGAGCTAGAGGAACTCTGCCAGGCACACGGCACTGTGAAGGACCTCCGGCTGGTCACCAACCGGGCTGGCAAACCCAAGGTTGGCATTGGAGGCCAGCTTCTTGGCTTCTCCATCTCCTGGGTGACATCTTCCTGGAGGGGGCACCAGGTGCTCTGCTCAGAAAGATGGGTCCACTGTACCCGAGTCGGGTTATCCTGTCGGCAGGAGAATAAGGCACTTGACAAACCACACTCTGTGTGTGCAGGGGCCGTGCTGTGTCCCCTGGCTGCAGAGCCTCTTGGGCTCTGGCAGGACCCACGTGGCACCTGGGGGGAGCTGCCCTTCTAGCATCTTCCTCTGCTTTCTTCCTTCTCACTGGGCCTCCAGCTGTTTTCCTAAGGCCTCCCAAGAGTCCCTTCTGGTTCCAGGTTCCTTTGGGACTCCTCCCATCCCCCTTTCCTCCTGGGCGGCCTCCTCTTAGACTCTTTAAACCCTTTGCAGCCATGTTGAGCAGTGGCGACCTGGCCTTCCTCTGCTCTCCCCGCTGTCTCAGGTTCAGAGACAGTAGGTTCCCCCGTCTTGAGTTCACCTCGGCTTGCTTGCACTCACCTATGTTTCCCTTCCCACACCCGCCCCAGGTCCAGAACTGATCGAGATTTTCTGACCTTATGATGGGGAGGCAGGCGCAGTAGGATGTGGAGTAGGGCAGGGGCCAAACAGAGCAGGAGGGCTGGTGGTGGAAGGCAGGCTGAGGGCTGTTTGGAGGGCTGGCTGTGGCCAGGTCCGGGATCCCTGCCACTCTGCATTCTGCTCCTTCAGGGCCTGGCCTACGTGGAGTTTGAGAATGAATCCCAGGCATCGCAGGCCGTCCTGAAGATGGACGGCATGACGGTCAAGGAGAACGTCATCAAGGTGGCGATCAGCAATCCCCCTCAGAGGAAAGCTCCCGAGAAGCCAGAGGCCAGGAAAGCACCTGGGGGCCCCCTGGTGCCGCGGCAGATCTATGGCGCGTAAGTGTGCACACTTGGACCCGGCTGGGGTGGGGGCCCCCCATGGAGTCTCCTCTCCCTGCTAGAGCCTCAGCTTGCTGCTCTTGTGCTGCTCTTGCTGGCTCAGCGAGGAGGGTGGGGAGAGCCAAGCCTGGGCAGAGCGTAAACTCAGGCAGTGTAGACGCTTTCTGAGTAGGAGTTTTATTTTTGCCAGTTTATACTCGTGACATATCCAAGGTAACTTTTTAAAGGTAAACTTTGCTTATTGGATGCAGTGTGCTCTCCAGAACCACCTACAACAAACTCATTGGCTGCCTCCTGTAAAATCGAGGCTCTTTGCCTGGCAGGGACCAGCTAGCACAGTTGTAATGATCGTGGCCCGACTGCAAGACTGGCCATTTTATCTACCCTGCCGGTGACCCTGGCCTTGTTCCGATAGGGAAAGGCAGAGCTTGTTAAACAGAGCTTGACTTTGTCATCGAAACAAAGGAGGCAGGGGTTGTGTTACCCTTCTTGTTTTCTGCTTCCCATCTTTTAAATTTACTTCAGCAACGTTAGGCCATACTGACTAATTTTCACCAATTGATCAGGGGGGCATGGGACCATAGGTTCTCATTTCTAGAGGCTACTTTCCATGTTTGCTTTTCCAGGCGGGGGAAAGGAAGGACCCAGCTCTCTCTCCTGCCTCGGGCCCTGCAGCGCCCGAGCACCACCACTTCCCAGGCCGAGAATGGCCCTGCCTCACATCCAGCAGACGCCAACTCCACCCTGGCTGAGGCGCCCAAGATGTCTAATGCTGACTTTGCCAAGTTGCTTCTGAGAAAGTGAACGGGCCTCAGCTAGAGAAAAGAGATGCCTTACTTGACTTTGTCCTGGCTCCGTTACCCAGCCACGTGCCGGACCTCAGGCACTCCCTGTCCTCCGATGAGACTGAAGGGGAGGGCTGTTCCCAGGCAGGAGGTTGAAACGCTCCCTCATATTGAGGGCAAGGGAGGAGGAGGGTCACGCTGCTGTCTGGGCACAGGGTCTGGTTTCCGAAGCTATTTTTGTCTCAAAGTGTGAGCATCAGAAGTGAAACCTGAACCCAGTTCTGAGGCCACTTGTCCACATGTGTCTGGTCACCTCCTGGCCCCTTGTAGAAGACACCTGTCCTACACCTGTGCAGCACATGTGCCCATCGTTCTTACTTTGTAAAAGACAACACAACAGATGTTAGCAATTCACCACAATGGCCTATTTTAGTAAAGGTGGGAACAAGGGGATGTTACAAGCAAATCAGTTGATGACTTTTTGTTCAAAGGGGCTGTGCATTTTTATATCACGGATTTGTAACAACCTGTCAACACATTGTGTTTCCTATAAGCAAAACACTAGCCCCGGTTTTCTGGAGGAATTCTGTAGGCCGCTTGAGGTGGACCATTTTTCTTGGCCTAGTACA